ACACATCGCAACTTCATCACTACTCTGTAAGTCCTGATTGTCTGTTCATCTAGAATCTTTAGTTTGTCTAGTTGTCTTTTTTGTAATAACATATCTCAACTTCATCACTAGACACTACTCAGTATGTATTGTTTGTTTGTTATATTTCAGTCCATACCATGGTATGGATGAAATATATTGTGTTCTCTCATGTTTCTTCTCCTTCTCCTCCTTCTCCTGCCAAACAGTCAAAGGGATTCAACTCCGCCATCATTCAGCCAAATGACTTGAAATTTGGCATGGAGGTAGAGTGGGCCAATACCCCCAGGCGTTTTTTTCATTTTTTTGATATATGCCTTTGAAAAACTTTTATGAAGGTTTTTTGGGGCATTTTTCGCCAAAAAATGGATTTTTGGATCCTGAGCCCTGGTTTTACAACCAAATGATCTGAAATTCGGTATAAGGGTACCTTGAACATGTGTCTACAGAATAGCAGTCACATATTTGGCATACACCACTTCCAAATGACTCATTTGGGGGACTTTAATGACTATTTTCAGCAAAAAAAGGGCCAAAAGTGCTGTACCCATTCCATGTTCTATCTAAAGAATGGCCGGTTCCATCCATGGAACACGTGTTCCATTGCGGGTTACCTGAGGTCACATTGCACCTAAGTGGTGCGTAATGACCCACACATTCAATTTTATGTGCCTAAGACCTTCAAAATGTATCAAATCTCATGATTGTTAGTTTTTGCATACCTGTAATAAGATTAGTAAAGCTTTCGAGATTCAAAGTACTTGTTGTTGCATCTTTGTTCTCATATACTTGTAGCTACTATTCAATTCATTTATTTGAGAGCCTTTGCCAGTTTTGCACTGGGGTGAGTTTGGAATAGTCCACTTTTGCGTGGGAGGAAGATGGACTGAAATATGCTGTATTTGCTCCCAAGCAAATGTCGGCCTTTCTAGTCTTATATATGTGTTACTTACACGGTGTACATTGGTAATGTCGCCCGAGTACAGGTGCAGACCTGTGGGTTGGGTAAGGTATGGAGACTATATATAAGCAGTCTGCATTTCAATTGAATTACAAAGAAAGTTTTAAAGAGTGTTCTTTTTCACAAATCGTCCTTCGATAAGTTTATGGCGATGTCGCTGCTATACTGCAACCACATATAATTTAAAGACCTATAAAGAATATGTCATTAACCGCATAAATTGAGGATTATTTGAAAATACAGACACATCGATGAACATCACAGAACGTAAACACCAAAGTCAACAATAACAAAGTAACGCTTACCCTTGTTTGCCTCCAAGATAGCCTTCGTGAAAGTCCGTCGTTTGGGCGACCTCCGGAGGCTGTGGGCTGTGTGCAAATGTCATAGCCAAGCGATAATCAGTTTTCCGTAGCTATGCAGAATAACTAAGATAAGCTATAGGTTTATATCATTATGGATAGAACCGTGTGAAGATTTATCATATGTATGCTAAAAGTGATAGTGATCAGGAAAGATACATATCAATACTCACCCAAATACACTGCATTTGGCTTTTGACCGGTATACTCCGCCATTGGCCGGTAGAAATAGTATATCCAATTGTTTCAACTGTATAACGCCCTGAACCCTTTCAAATATTTTACAAACAAACTAACTAACTAACAAACAAACAAACAAACTAACTAACTAACTAACTAACTAACTAACTAACTAACTAACTAACTAACTAACTAACTAACTAACTAACTAACTAACTAACTATCTAACTAACTAACTAACTAACTAACTAACTAATTGAGGTATCATTACCTAAAGCACTCACACGATTGGCATTAAAACAGAGAAAACGCCTGGAAAATAACACCTAGTGTTCTGACCTAAACGTCCCCGTTGTAGCTGGCATTGTTAATATAATGAGTTATTAGCCGTGCGAATTCTGTGAAAGTTTTACTATAGACAAATGACCACCCCTGTTACATGCTTATATGATAGCATATAGCAATGCATATGGGTAAAACAGCCATCATTTGTAACTGGTGAAGAACAAAATTGTAAAGTATACTAGCCTGGCGCACTCGCTGTCAGCCCGACGCCGAACACCAGAAGTACCCCAAACACTGTCGATGTACGCATGTCGAGACAATTGACTAGCTGAATTAAATCTTAATGTCCCAACACATTTATACACTTATACATAAGTTGTTCTTTTGGGCGTTCACTGAAAATTTATTAAAGTAAATAGTTCATTTGTCCGGGTAATCTCTTCCTGTTACTTACTCAATCAAGAAGAAAACTGAACAAACACTGAAAACGTTATCACGACATGATTCCACTTGCTCCATGGAGCACGTGCTCAATTATCAAATGGTTTAAATAAACCTTTGTAGAAATACGTCCTGTTATGAATGATAACCTAAATTGAACAATAATTATCTAAAAAAACATTGACTAATGTTCTTAATAGTATGACAGCAGAATTGCCGTTTATATCAGCTGTATGTGAGTGTGGTTCCCTTGTAGTTGTACTGTATTCTCTGCCTAGTGTATTTCTGATTAGGCCATGTTGATTTTATTATATGGATGACATCCGAGTGCCCATGAATTTTTGTCCGTTTCCAAAAAAAAGTTTTCGACCATATTGTAAATCGTACAAAATGAGCGAATATATGTCGTATGTTGCGAAAAAAAGGTATTGGAAAACGATATTATTGTCATAGAATGCCGAAATCAATTCAGGAAAAGAAGAAAATGTGAAGAAATGAAAATGAAGAGTATTATTATTCGCCATACCATACTCTGTGTTTAATCATTTGTTCAACCTTTTTCATAATCAAGACAACTTTTTGGGGGCCAAACTTTTTTTTATTCGCAAGCTCGCGTCAGTTTTGGGGTTCCCAGTGGATGTCATCCATGTAATCAAATCAACATGGCATTACCATGCTATCAATCCGATATGCAGGTCAGACCAGGTGACAGTCGCACGGCGCCACCTCCTGGCGATATCTCCACTTCCGATGCTGTAAGAACCACGTGACTTCCCGTCATGCTGACTACATCTGATGTTTCCCATGAAGATAATTTTTTGCTGACGTCATTCACGTAAAACGCTCATTGATGAAGGCATGAAAGGAACACGGAGCTGTACATGTACATGTGTGTGTGTGTGTGTGTGTGTGTGTGCGTGCGTGGGTACCTTAAAGAATGTTTGACAAATTCAATTGATAGTTATGCAAATCAGCAGCTAATTAGCATAATTGATAAGGAATGCTATAAATCTGCTATGCAAATGAATGCCTAATTTCCATAATTAATGCGAATCATCAAGATTCGTAAAGGCCGAAGGGTAATATTATTTGGCGAAGGTATGAGATCGTGGAACTCTAGTTATCACTGTACGTAGATGTCAGGAAAGAAGCACAACAGTGAGTTCCATGACAGGCCATCTACATTTGAGCAAGGGTGGCCGTTTATTTGTTGCAACCGTACAACTTGTTGATCTTCTGAATATCCAGAGAACTGAGCCGGTAGGCAGCTCCGAGGACGACGCCGTTCAGCGGAAGCTACAGACGGGGATGTACAGAATATGAGATTGTTACGTAATACGGGCTGTTTTGGTCATCATTTTAAAAGGAAATTACTGATATAGCATTGACATTGAATGGTATTTAGTAAAGTAGTCAAATTAGATAAGAATATTCCTACTTCATGGTAGACTATACAATATAATAACATATATTTAACTTTTAAATTTTACTTTGCCCTTAGTAAGTGCGTTGATTCGATAACGCCTTGCGTAGAGTTCGTCCGCAGTAACCGTTGTTTAGTATCACATGAAATAACTCACGTAAATCTTATCTTCATCTTACCAACCTACCTTAGGTACGATGGTCTCCCTTCCGTTAATACTGTTTAAGTGGCTCCCGTAGTGCATGATGGATCCATAGTCGTACGGCAGGTCCAGGGTGCTGGATCCAGAGATCTTCTCGAATTGGGGATGGAACGCTGAAAAAAACAAAACAAGCAAGAATGCGCAGCATGAACTACTTTGCCAAAATAACATTTACTCATTTTGGGACTACTTTCGTATTTGCTAATGACGACAAGTTGCATGAAGGACGTTTGTGGGTGAATTCCCATTGCACCTTGATGTGAGAAATAAAACATGGGAACAGAAACAGCCACTCAAAACGTCAACATGACTTCCTGCAATTCTATATTATGTAGATTCTGGAGTTTATTTACTTGAGGCAAAAAAAGATGTGAAAACGTTTGGACTTAAAATGAAAGAATGCACGCACGTTTCTCTGCACTTGTTTGCAATGCGTGGCTTCCTGAATTCCCTGCTGGCTCCCCGACAGATTCTCATTTCAGGTGTCTGACCTTTTGACCTGTCATTCTGCCTGTCAATCATTCCCCACTCACATGCTGGCAACCTACTCTGTCCTAACAAACAGATACACAAACCCACAGATCAGGCCCTAAAATAATATTTCCGTGCCCTAAATTGAAGTAAAAAAAACACCTGGGTCAACGTTGTCCAGCATGATCGTAACGTAGTCGTCCCTGTCCGGCCGCTGATGTTCGTGCCAGAAGCCCACAGTGTGCATCAGCTCGTGCCGGACCGTTCCCTTCCACATACACCCATCCCCGAGAGACAGCTCCTGCATGCCGCCCATACGACCGGGTTTTGACCAGCAACTGGAAGAGATCATCATCATAAGTTATGGACTGATTTACGAAAGTAGAAATTATCTCTCTTGTGTGACCGGTAATCATTAGGTATCAATCAAATATCATTGTTATCATATATGTACATTACTGACGCATGGATTTATAGTAACATGAATCGCGTCATATAAAGAGGACATCATCTTTACCCTTCAAGCTTTACAATTGAGACATAGGACGCCTCGTTGTCTCGAGGCTTAAACTGGAGGCATGTCTGTCGGTTGAAGTGTCTAAGGGACCTCTGGATCCAACCAAGCTCCGATGCGGCAGGTGCAGTTACAATGGCCTTTGGATCTAGATCTAGATCTGTAGAGTAAACAAGGTGGATCTCTTAGCTTGGAACTCTGTTCCTTGCTGACCCTTCGTCGATGCACGTACCGGTCACAAACGGCCGTTGCCATTTTAAACGGTCGATGCCATGTCATTTATCAATCGATGCCAAGCGTATCACAACTTTCTTCTGGGACAAGAATGTAGAAAACTCCGATTATAAATGAACGACCGTATCCTAAAAAAAAACTGTAAAAAAAATTAGTGAAAAAGAAAGTGCCCAAGCTCGAGTTCGAAGATTTTGTAACGTGTTAGTTTGTCGCAGAATAAGTTGGCACGGACCGGATTCGGAGCGTCCACAGTGTCCACAGCTCTCCGCACATTCGGACCCCATGTAAGCGGGGTTGGCGTCACATTCTCCCCAGGCCGCCCAATCCGCACACATGCCTTCCTTGTCAGCGCAGGTAGCGCCTGGAAGGAGAAACCTTTCATGTACATTGAAATACTGAGAACGATCTATTTCCATCGCGTGTCTGTCTACGTGAAAGAACGTAGTTATCCTAATCGTATTTGAGTTTGACAAAATGCATTACGGTGTCTCAGTAAGAAACTTGCACTTACTAAAGGCATCGCTAATGACGTAAGGAATCACTCCATTCGGCCAAAGGTGTCCATCATTAGAGACGGCGTTACGGGAGTCCTGAAACAGTTGAGTTAATGCTTCAGATAATCTAACTTTCTCCGGTAACATGAAAAACTAGGACAGATCATTGTATACGTACATACTTACATCATCTACGTTAAATGATCACTATGGCATTGACACTAATAAATGTATACGCGTAAACATTCTCTGCGATCGATATCATCCCCACAATGACACTGGTGCCTGTATGGACACTGAAGTCTGGAGTCGGACACAGCCTGTTGTGGTCATAATCAAGACCCCGTTTACTATTATAAATTAATAAAATAAAATACTTAGTGGTAACCCAAAGTTATACCAGCATGTAGGGGTGGTCCGGTGGGCAGCTGTCCCGCGGGGAAACCAAAAATGCTGGAAAACTAAAACTACCCCCCGGGGCCTCCTTTTCCCATTGTCACCTGCACATACTGCGTGCGTGTGTGCGTGTGTGCGTTACTTACAGGATCAACACCGGCAATGTCCCCTGAATACAGGTTCAATTCTGTGGGGGTGGGCAAGATAATCACACATTATATAATTCACTACAGTGCAGTATAAAAGGCATAGAATGTCGATTAAGCATTCTCTTTAACCATGCCTGCCAGTCATGAGATATATTTTCCTTAAGGAAGGGTAATATTGACCCCGCAAACTTTCAAACTCTTTCAAGCCATGATCGCAGTGCATGGCGACAGATAATCCACAATTAACCGCGTCTCAACAGCTCAGGTGGGCCAGAAAAGCTCACCGACAAAAGGACTAACTGTACCATTTAGACTCGCCATACTCTGCCTAGTGGTTGTCAACATTCCTTAAAGCACGAAGTATTAAAAAAATCGAGGTTATCAAAAGCAACATATCTGCAAACGTGGAGAGATGTTAGAAACGCCAAATTAGGACTTGACCTACCCTACGGCGTACATACCCTTGTTTGCTTCCGAGATGGCCTCTGTGAAAGACTTTGCCTTCGGCGACCTCCGGGAGATGTCGGCTGTAGGCAAAGTACAGAACCAACTGCAGATTAGTTTTGTATGTCATATTGCGAAGGTATTTCAGTACTAAACAATGGTTATTTCTTGCTTATATGTACCATGTGTTCAAAGAAGCGTACGCTGGTAAATGTAACATCAGTTAACTAGTTATGTAGACATGGCTTACCTACTGTCTTTCATACGAAGTTTTCTTCTTTTTTTTTGTGTTGTCATCTTTATCATCAGAATATACTGCATTTGTGAGCCATTTGTTTGGATTATAGGCAAATACACAGTAGCAACTCTAGCACGTCTGCTCCAATAGCATACCAACCTGGCGCACTCGCCGCCAATCCGACCCCAAACACCAGAAGTACCGCAGACAGTGTTGAAGCACGCATGGTGAACACGCTGAGTCAGGTGCCCTTTCTTACGAGGTACCCCGCACATTTATACACATGCATGATCACGCCCAAGCTGTTCGGATAGGCGCTCACCAAACGTTGATATAAATAGTTTATTTACACATCTCCGCCAAGTGCGAGTGTGGGTCTATATTTAATCTTTTGTTGATACGTCTATTATCAACCTATACCCAGAGGCTAATACAGTCAAACCTCTCATTGTGGACACCTTTCCGAAGTGGACACTTGTCTACAGTGGACACATTAGAACAGTCCCGTCCATTTTACATAGTTAAGACCCTATCCTAGGAGGACACCTATCATCTTCAACAAAAGGACATTTTTTCAGTCCCAAGGGGCATTCAGACCTGTCTTAGTGGACAATATTGACTGACAGCAGCACCCAACGAGCCCAGAAACAATAGTTTCTGATATAATGTGTAACTACTGGTAGGGCATATGTAAAGTACATGTACTGTGTAATTTCCAAAATGAAACATTATGGTACATGGTACTAAAAGGTAAATGTGGTTGAACTACAGAATTTGCAAATGTTAAATGAAAGGGGTCAATTTATGGACTTCATGTGACTGGATACATATTTTTGTTTTACTATTTTATGAACAGACAACCTGCCTAAAGACCACATTTCATTGCTAACCTAGAGTTCCACGATCTCATACCTTCGCCAAATGATGTTAGCCTTTATGAATAAGAAATTATATATTAATCCCCCGATTATGCAAATAGGATCCTAAATTGCATGAATTATATCTGTTGATCATATTCTACACCATAAGACAGTCTTATCTTAACAAAGAAATCCATTATAGCATTTCCTCATAAATTATGCAAACGACGTCCTTATTTGAATAAGTTATGTTTAATGATGTTCACTTTCACACAACTTTCAAACAACCTAAGTATGAAATTCCAGGCAGTTACCACTATGCAATTATAACATCTTCTCATTAATTATGCAAATTAAGTCATCATTGGTATAATCAATATCTGCCTGTGTTTCTCTCGTTCTTAATAATATTTGTTAAAAGCTTGAACTTCCTATCATGGAATGCAGCTGATTTATAGAATTTCCTCATTAATTATGCAAATTACATCCATATTTGCATAATTGTAATATCATTATGTTAATCATCACTTAAGCTACCCACATACCAAAAATCACGATGATCCATCAATCGGTTCTTGAGTTATCCTTCTTTAAACACTTGTCCTTTAAACTCCCCTGCAGTTCTAGACAAGGGAGCTCAAACTCATGCCACTTCATCCCCAGCACAAGAGCTATCTACCATCTAAATTTCGTCACCCTAGCATGTCTGGATCATGAGATATCAAACCGGAAATTCTGCTGCAGTGCCATGACAAGCCGCCAGGTGATCCAAAATCTAATCATTTTGAGGTCTCATCAAGACCTACCTACCTACCAAATATCAAGTCAGTCCATTTAAGCCTCCTCAAGTTATCGTGTTTACAGACACACACACACACGAACGCCTCTGAAAACATAACCTTCTTAATGCTTAGGTCACATTTGAAACGGCGCCCGTTCGGCATGTCCTCGGCGTAGACGCCGGCCGGCGTCATGACGCCGAGCGTGCGCCGTACTGTCAGGGTCACAATTAAATGTTCCTTTACGGCTCCCTGTCGGGGCCTGGTTGTGCTCCGGCCGGCGGCTCTCATTAATATTCATAAACTTTTGCGGCCGGTTTCTGTCAGGGACCCGTCCGATGCCCGGTCAGTCGCCCGTCTTGACCCGTGCGGCGTGTGGTAGGGTGCCGACCGGCTCTTACAGTTCGGCCGGGCAGCTGTCAGGTCCCTGGCGGGTTCCTGGCGGGATCCCGACGGGCTCCTCTCGTGTTTTTGAGCAGGTACATATATAAGCGCTGCACTGCCTGCTACCGTTCACTTCAAGTAAAGAGTACACGTCAAGTAAAGAGTAGACTGAAGTTGGCGATGCAGCGTTCAGTGCAACCTGCAAACAACTTACAAGCCCGTCTGAGATTGAGATTGGTGACAACCTACATGTAGGTCTTCTGGCATTGGTAGCTGAAGAAGAGAGGCAGGCAGAACTGGTGCGTCGCAAAAGTAACCGAGGGCCTACTTTCGAAAGTACTTCAACAGTGACGCAGGAAGTACTTCAGCAGTGACGCAGGAAGTGTGCCGTGGCAGCTCCTTGCTATTGAGCAATAAAACCACTGAATATCGTTACTTCTGTTGAAATTTGGACTGAAAATAAATGCCAATAACTTCTGATTCCATTTTATTACGAAGGCATATGATGTAACAAGAGATAATGTCAGACACATTCTATTCCTGTTATGATCTGTTTTATGAAGTTGGCAAGAGAGCCGTGCCGGCTGTTTTCCCTTGCCCTTCGACATTCTGACACACAAATACAAGGTGTAACACACACAAGTACACGATGTAACACACACGTGGTGAACTGTGCGACGTAGTCTGAGGCAGGAGTTTATATATGCTCCCTATAACCCCCTTTTCCTGACCATCTGATGCACTGATCAGCACATGTGACGTCATAATCTTAGGCAGGTGCCTGTTCGGCCGCCCGACGGGTCCCGGGCAGTGAGGTTACGGCGTCGCTTCGGCGTATTTCGCCGAACGGGGCCCGAAGTGTTTTTAACTCTGAGTTAAAATCGATTCGGCGACCGCGCGGGGTCAAAAATAGGCCGGCAGCCGTCGGGAAGCCCGCCGGTCTCCGTCCAGGTCCCGTTCGGTAGTGCCAAAAAACACGCCGAACACGCGCCGAGCGGGCCCCTTTCTTGAATTGTGACCTAAGCATAAGGTAACAAACATGGCTCTGATTGTTAAACAAAGGTTTACTGAAGTTTGTTTATATAACAAACTGGAGTTTATTAACAAGGGGCATCTCTAAGCACTTTTCATCCGGCACTACACCAAAACTAATTGTAGTGGATCTGCAGCTGAATTCCATGAAATGTTCTCATTTGATGTTCTTCTGCATGTGCTCTATTATCCTGTGATTGCTAAACCTTTGCAAAGAACAAACTGAACCAGCCTGTTGCAGAAAAATTGAAGCTATTTTTTTTACTGTTTTAGGAACAGACAACCTACCCAAATACAACATTTTGATTGTTAGACAAACATGACTCTGGTGGTTAGACAAAGGTTTACTGAAATTTGTTTTTAGAACTAACTGGAGTTTATAAACTGTGGCCATTTCTAAGCACATTTTCTTGAATTCAGCTGCACTACAGTAGTGCATCTGGATTCAATTATAAAATTTGCTCTGACGTTCTTCTCTATCATTCTATGATTCTAATCTAACTTACACATATTACACATGCACTTGCATAAGCCTATTGCTGGACCGCTGCCTGGGAGGACACCTGCAGTATATGGGCATTTTTGCTCAGTCCCTTGAGTGTCCACTCTAGAGATCCAAATTCAAAAACTGTATTTGGATACTTCTAAAAAAATTCTGCATCACTGTTCCATGAAACAAAGAAGCAATATTGGTAATCATAACTGTACGTAAGCACTAGATAAGTGGAAAGAAGAACAAAACACTGAGTATCATAGCAGGCCAGCTGCACGTGCGTTTATTTTTAGCAATCGTACAACTTGTTGATCTTCCGAATATCCAGAGAACTGAGTTCTTCGGTTTCTCCAAGGACGACGCCGTTCAGCGGAAGCTACAGACGGGGAAGCACAGAATATGAGATTGTTACGGGCTGTTTTTGTCATCATTTTAAGATAGCATTACTGGTTCGGTGTTTCCTCATAAGATTTAGATATTTAACAAAAAAGTCAAATCATGTTATAACCAACTCCATGGTAGACTAGACATGTAATATAATGAAATATATTTGATTCAAATTTACTTTGCTGGAGCAAGTGCCTAAGATTCCACAGTGCATCCAGCCCGTAGATTTTGTCTGTTGATTTATATCACATGATGAAGTAACGTCAATCTTATCTTGATCTGACCAACCTACCTTGGGTACGATGGTCTGCCTCCCGTTAATGCTGAAGGCGTAGCTCTCGTAATGCATGATGGATCCATAGTCATACGACAGGCCCAGTTTGCGGGAGTTGGGCAACTTGTCGAAGGCGTGATGGTACCCTGGATAAAACAAAACAAAACGACAGGAATGCTCAAGAGAACTTCTTTGGTGTTTGCTAATGATGACAATTTGCATGAGGGGCTTTGCCGGTGGATTCCGATTGAAAGTTTGCGTAAGAAATGACAACATGACAATAGAAACAGCCATTCAACACGTCAAAACGACGTAATGTAGCGCCCGGACTTTCTTTACTCGATGTTGATAAAAAGGTGTAACAACGTTTGGACTTAAAATGAAAGAATGCACGCACGTTCTTCTGCGTTTTGAAGGCGGATCGTGACGTAGTCGTCCCTGTCCGGCCGCTGATGTTCGTGCCAGAAGCCCACAACGTGCATCAGCTCGTGCAGGATCGTTCCCTTCCAAGACAATTGGTACCGAGAGACAGCTCCTGCATCCCGCCAACCCGACCCACTTGCGAGTTGCAACTGAAAGAGATGAATATCATGAGTTATGGACTGATTATGGACGTAACATCGATAGATATGCACGTAGGTCATTTATTGCTTGTGTGACCACAAACGGTAATCATTGGATATCAATTGAATATCATTGTTATCATATTCCATATACTGACTCTTAATATAGGCAAAGAATTGAGTCATAGAGGACATCATTATGAATCTTACCCTTCAAGCGCTCTGATTTTGACGTAGTTCGCTTCGCCGTCCCGGGGCTTAAAATGGATGCATGTCCGCTGGTTGAACTCTTTAATGGCTCGCTGGATCCGACCAACCTCCGATCCGGCAGGTGCAGTGACAATGGCCTTTGGATCTACATCTGTAGATTCAACAAGACGTATCAATTAGCTTGGAACCGGGCTCCATGCATATCGTTTAAGCGGTCGATATTATGTTGCTGACCAATCGATGCCGTATGCGAGCGCATCATAATTTCAAAAATTAGAAAACCCGTAGAGAAGGCAACGTTTCGATCCCAAATGTACGGCTGTGTCGGGATGGGAAATTTGTGGAAAAAAAGTGCCTAAGATTGACACAGCGTATTAAATATATATTGTAAGTGTGATGTGACAACTATCGTATACGAGACAGTATACTATAGTAATTAGCCTCGCCGATACTGGCCTAGCAGGCACAATACTCTTTTGTTACTCTAATCTTATTTTATAATTGCGCACAGAAAAGGTATGTTAAGATTAATTACCGGATTCGGAGCGGCTACAGAGGCCACAGCTCTCCGCACAATAGAACAACATGTAACCAGGGTTGGCGTCACATTCTCCCACGGCCGCCCAACCCGCACAGTTGCCGTTCTCGTCCTTGCAGGCAGTACCTGGAGGGTGAAACCTTTCATGTACATTTGGGATACTGAGAATGATCTCTTCTCATAACGTGTATGTCCGTCTGAAAGAACGCAGATACATTAATCATAGTTTCACAAATGCGTCACAGTGCCTCAGTAAGAAATGTAGACTTACTAAAGTCACTGGAAATGACGTAAGGGATCTCTCCATTCGGCCAACGATCTGCATCAGGGATGGCGTTACGCGAGTCCTGAAACAGTTGAGTTAATGCTTCAGATAAGCTACCTTTCTCCGGTAACATGAAAAACTAGGACAGATCATTGTATGTATGCACGCTTACGCCATCTACGTTAAATGATCACTATGGTACTGACTAATGTATACGTGTAGCAATAGTTTACAATTGATTCAGTGCCTCTGACATTACAAATAATCAACATGGCTGACCCTGTAGGACAGATGATTCTCGTCCCACGCTGTT